AGAGTCACAAGGCGGTCCCTTTCGAGCTGTTTCTAGGCTATCCGCCTAACAACCCGTTAGCGAATGTGTGGGGAATTGGCGACCTTCTGCCACCTCCTGGTGCGGCTGATGTCAAGGCAACTTGGCAAGCGGCCAGGAGAAACTTGATCAGAGCTAGGGAATTGGTCCGGAGGAAGCACAATCGTGGCAGAGTAGACAACCCTTTCCAGGCGGGGGATTTGGTGTTTTGTAAAGCTCATCCGGCCAGTTCGGCTGTGGACAAGAGAGCTGCCAAGTTGTGTCATCGGTGGTCAGGTCCCCACCGCATCCTGAGGTTTTTGACGCCTGTCACGGCGGAGCTTGGAGATCCGCGGTCTGGAAAAGTGTTCCGGAGGGCGCACATTTCTCATCTCAAGCCCTTCCGCGGAACTCTTCCGTAGGCAATTTTCTTTCCTCTTGTGTCTGGGTGGGAAGTGCACTGGGCCAGAGAACCTGATCACTTCTCCTGTCCCCTGTGTTCTGCGAAGGAATTTCCCTTTACAAAATTTTCCAGCTCTGGCCAGAGCAAACCCTGGGGGTGAGTTTTCCCCTCAGTTTGGAAGTCCCTTGGCGTTCCCCACCACAGACACTTGAGTTGTCTTTCAGGTCAATCTCTTTTCAGGAAGTGGGGGAGAGGCTTGTTTGTTTGTCCCTTTTGGAGAGGAGTGTCCTCTTTTGGGGAGGGAGGTTGAGCCGTGACTAATTCCACCGGGCGAATGTCACGACTCATATTCAATGGTTCAAGTGTTTTTTTTTATAGTAGGCTAGTTCAGTGTTTCGTTTGTTACTTCCACGACCCCGAACAAGGATGTGAGTCTTGTTCTTCTTACTCGGACCGCCTAGCGTCAGAGGCTCCGAGACATTGCTCCTGTCGACAACGAGTTGATAATTCATCCCCTTACATCTTTATTTTGTGGCATGTTTAAATTGCAGTTTGCCTTTATTTTATTCAGGGTGTTATTAACGTCGACTATGGATTAAATTTTAGTACGCCTTGCGCGCCTTTTGGGGTCCAGGAGAACTACCGTCAACCCAGGACGTGGAGCATCAACCTGAGGCGGAGACCATTTACCACCCTATGGCCTCCATTTGGACACTGTATGGCCTCCTCTCCGCCCAGCTTCACCAGCCCTCTAGCGACCTGGATCTGTGCCGCCTAATATAACTGTTACCGCCGTACCGCAAGTTACCTGTTTCTTGTTATACATTTATTATTTATCATTGCTGTTGCCGAATGGACTTGAAGATTTTTAATATTTGTTGACTATTTATAAGCACAGCATTCTATTGTTATTTATTTCAAATTTTATTCTACAGTTTTTGCCTAATCATCCAATTTCTAAGATTTTTGTCTACAGTATTTATTTTTGGGGCCCCTAGTAAATTGTTAACTATTCAGATTTTTATTAAAAGAGTCATCATATATTATTATTGTTATAATTTGTTAATTTGGGTAAATTTTTATTAAATGTTAAATTTTTATTAAATCTTTCTGATAGTTGTTGATTAAAAGTAAAGACTGTAAGTCAGCAGATTAAATGGGTATCCAAATTTATTTAAAGTTTAATTGAGAGTATTTAATTCATGTATTGTTGTTGATTATTGTTGTTGTGTTTATTTATTTAGTTAATTACAGCTCGTTTCTCTCAAATGGCGTGTTGTTCTTGAACCTCCATCCATGGTTCTCATTTTGTCAAGTAAGGTTTTGTGAGCCGCTCCTCGGGCCTGCGCATGGATCACGCTTCCATTTCGTTAGTCTGGGTGCAGGCACGAGGGCATGGTTCACAACCAAGGAATATTGATGAGGTCCGGAAATTTCTTGGAATGGTTACCTACTACGCTCGGTTCATCCCAGACCTATCTACAAAAACAACACCTCTTCGACAGCTTCTACAGAAAAATAGAAGATTTCATTGGTCAATAGATTGTCAAACTGCATTTGATTGTCTCAAGGAGGAAATAACTTCTAAAAGAGTTCTAGTACCATATGACCCCCATCGTCCAATCGTTCTAACATGTGATGCCAGTCCTACCGGAATTGCAGCTGTAATGAGTCACATAATTGATGATGAATAGAAACCGATCGCTTACGCATCCAGATCCTTAACTCCATCAGAGCGAAATTACAGTCAGCTCGATCGAGAAGCTCTTGCGATCGTGTTTGGAGTGAGTCATTTTTACAATTATCTGTATGGACTTCACTTCACCTTAATTACAGATAATGCCCCTCTTTCAAGAATTTTCCATGAAAGCAAATCCTTACCACCCATGACTTCCAGCCGTCTACTCCGTTATGCATCTTTTCTATCAGGGTTTAACTATTCAATACGTTTCAAGAAAGGGGAAGCAAATGCTAATGTTGATTGTTTATCCAGAGCTCCAGTGACTCAACATTCTGAAACCTTAGACATTTTCCTAAACAATGAAGTTACCTTGCTACATTCAGAAACAATTTTTGAAATATCTTCTGAACATTTAAATGCAACTATTCTAGCCCGGGAAACTGAAGCTGACCAAAATCTTAGAGAAATTAAAAGGAAACTTTTGTCTTCTTCTGCTGACCTACCATACACATTGGACAACGGAGTACTTTTCAAGGAAACTCGTGCTGTCATTCCTAACAGCCTTCAACCTCAAGTCTTACAGCAACTACATGCTACTCACATTGGTATTACAAAGATGAAACAATTAGCCCGAAGATACGTTTATTGGCAAGGGATTGACAAGGACATAGAGAAATTAGTCCAATCGTGTGAAATTTGCGCCCACATAAAATTCAATCCTCCCAAAGCACCCCTTCATCCATGGGTAGAGCCAGAAGAAAACTGGGAGCGTATTCATATAGATTACGCGGGGCCTTTTCAAAACCACTACTTTCTTGTTTGTGTGTGTGCCAAGTCAAAGTGGGTAGAAGTTAAAGTATTGAGAAATGCTCCTACAACTTCTAATACTATTATTCTTCTCGACAACATTTTCTCATCTAATGGCTATCCTCAAGTGATGGTATCAGACAATGCCACAATTTTCACCAGCGCAGAATTCAAGAAATACTGTTCATCCAATGGAATTTTCCAGAAACTGATTGCACCTGGACATGCAGCTACAAATGGTCTTGCTGAAAGAACTATCCAGACTTTGAAGCAAAGATTAAAAGCATTGGAAGATGACCATCGTCAAATACATACAAAGGTTCAAGAGATTCTTCAACAATATCGTGCCACTCCTCTCTCAAATGGACAATCACCTGCAGAACGATATCTTCATCGTAGGATCCGCATCAAGCTGGATGCTCTTCAACCTTACCATCCGACAAAGAATCCTCCTTCGATAATAAGAGTTCGAACATTCAATGTGGGGGAGAGAGTTCTCATTAGGGAGTATTCACAAAATAATAAATATATATGGACATTTGGTGAGATTATACAGAAACTAGGGACTCTTCACTATATTGTAAGGTTAGATTCTGGAAGAACACTGAAACGTCATCTAGACCAACTCCGGAAAACTCAAGTAAAGAAGGTTCGTTTCAACGAATGTGAAGAAGTACCTAATCAAATTCCACAAGTTCCAATGCAAGTACCCATACTCCCGCAACAGCAAGTCCCTATGCAAGTTCCCGTATTACCAAGACAAGTTACAGAATTAGTCAGATTACCAGCTGAAGAGAACTTACAACCAACATCACCACGACCAGGAATACGATGTTCAACCCGCACTCATAAAGCTCCAGATTACCTTAAAGACTATGTTACAAAATGAGTTCAAAATAAGTGGGGGAGATTGTAGTATTCTTTATACTGTATATTATCAGCTGTTGTCATTAATTACAAAACAATGTTTACCTTTTCAATTTGCAGTTGTAAATATTACTTTTCAATAAAAGAGTTTCTTCAAATGCGTGCTTATTATAAACTCTAATTCAAAGTCACAACAAAACCTCAGCAGTAAAACTGTCTACTTTGACAGGTTTCACCTAGTAAATCTTAAATACCCCCGCCGCAGCAAACCTGCAGACTAAGCGAATTTCCATTTGATTTACACTGAAATGTCTACTTAAAAATATAACATTTATTCCCGATTTAAATAGAATTAGTTTAACAAGTACTTAGGTTTGCTGCATCAGGGAGGTAAAACTGTTTTTTTTTTTTAATAGTTAGTAAGAAATAAAAACATTTTTCAAATTTTTATCAAAATATGTTCATAAACAAGCAAACTACAACAGTTTACTTATTCTCCATAAGAATAACATGGGAATTTTAAATTTACAATTTTTTGGAATTTTCTCCGTAACCATTAGGCGCATAATAACGCTTCAATATACTAAATTATTTGTTTTTTTAAGCTCTACAAAATGGTTTGGAAAGAAATTGCTAAATTTGATGTTTTTTGGGTCAAAAATGCGAAAAACCTATTTTTACCCCATAAAACCCCCCGTAAACCCCCGTTCCCATGGTCCGATCATGCTGGATCGCGAACTCGTTCGAATAAACGTAGGTTCACAAGTTTGTACCGAATTTCATCAAACTCGGATAATTTTTGCTCGAGTTATCGTGCTAACGGACACATATATATACATATATATATATAAATATATAAATATATAAATATATATATATATGAATTTGAACGGATGGTGTTTTTGGTCTCTAGGGACCTCGAAACGAAAAAAAAATCGGTCCCGCGTCCAGGTCTTACCATGAGTACTACGGTAATAGCTTATTCCCTATATGGGAAATTCGCTAAAAAATTAAACCTTCATAATCATTTGAAAATCGACACGCATTAAGCTTTCCAACGACCCATTAATTAATATAATCGGTCCAGTAGAACTCTAGATTTAGTTGTACAAAGATTTTTAAAACTGAATTATTATATATAGAATAGATAACAAAAACAAAGTCCTAAAAACAACTACATAATCCTACACATTACATTATCTTTCCAGATCAGGTCCTTCAAAGTGAAAAGTATCTCACCCTCACCTGTGATATACAGCAATGTTTTCAACTTCTGGCCATTTTTGTCGAATCTCAACACAAACTCTTTTCATGGATTTCAAAGCCATTTGCTCATAGGCTTCATACACCAACTTAGCGACCTAAGACACAATAAATACCAACATTTTAAGTTAATTGTACAGATACATTACTTAGCAAATTGCAAAATGTTTCCTTTAGGAACACTACATGAGGAATCAGTCTAAAGTGTAGACACTTAAGTTGAGTGGCTTGATTTATTTTAAACCAAGTAAAAAATAGGCAATACAAATTTACAACCAGAACCATAACTGAGCCTTATTGGGACTGGACTGACAGCCTTCAAATGTTAAGAAGTGAACTTGATAATCAATGGACTCAGCAGTATTATTTACATCTAAGTGTCATAAAACCTCCCGATGGTATCCCTGTCTTGCCGGGGCGGTGGGGCTTGCATGCTCTGAAAACTTTGAGAGCTATGCCGGCGGTAGCCTAGCTACTGGTAGGGCCTTCCTTGCCGGACAGGTCTTCGTGAGGTAGGAGGCAGACTAAAAAGGATACCCTGGTCCTCCAGGTTGGGGGTTGGGCATAAGGCTGACAACCTTACCCCTGAAAAGACTGAAAAGTCACTTGTTCAGAAATGCCAACATTTTTCCTCGGACCCGGATGGAAGTACGGATTTAGAACCCAAGCTTTGCTCAACGGACTTATGATTTGGAACTTGGAATGTTAGAACCTCAGCTTTAACTGGAAAAGTAGATACTCTTGTAAACTCGGATGCTCAACATTTCAAAGATCTAGGACTTCGGTGGTCTCCAGCAACTGGTTTTAAGGTGTTTCCCAGCAAAGATGGTATAGGTTGAAAAGAGAAGTAGAAAAATGCAAACAGGTGCTATAGCCGGCCTACAACAAACTTTTGTGTTAAGTAATGTGTTTTGTTCTAAACTAACTGTTGAAGTGAGGACACTTCAAGGCCGGGAGTATATCCAGTTCTTTTATCTAATAATTTTCTTTAGCCTTTACTTAGAACAGCTGATGATTTAAAAAATGATTCCTACTGTACAAATAAACAAGATTCATTTCTGTTCTTCTTGAAAACATGACTTATTTTATTTCTCTCTAATAATTCATTTTTATTCACAAACACTCCACATTAATTAATTGGTCCTTCGATCCAAGATATTACTTAAGCGATTTGGAATTACTTTCTTCCACAAAAACTCTTAATACATCAATATTTCCTCATTTTACCCATCGTTTTCTGTGCCTTTGAACTCTTACCTAACTGAACTCTTATTTCCATATTGAAACTGTTAACTCTCTCATTTATACTTCGTGAATGTTTTACATTTATCTCATCATCTTTGTACAATGGCATCTCCAAATAGTGATTTTAAAATTGAAACTTATACACGACTCACATCTTTTATTAAAACTCGTCTCAACGAAATAAGAAACATCGTAGATCAACATGTTGAACAAGAAGAAACATTAACAGTTGTGCAACACGAAGCCTTAAAGACTCTCATGCAAGAAACCCAGAAGAAGAAAGAAGACTTTGATTCTTATTTTTATCGAATTGTAAGTACATCAAGTGAAGATGATTTGAACATTGAAACTTTAGTTGTAGATGAAGACCAAATCAGTGAACTATTCATCCACATCACCAGCTACATTAAAGTGCTGCTTTCAAAAATTGGTTCTAACCCTTATTTGGCCAAGGTTAATTGCAGTTCAGCTCAACCTCATAAAACTACTGCAGTGCATGTAATCAACCCGAACTCATCAAGTCCAGCTCAACCTCAGAGAACAACTGCAATGAGTGTAACCAAACCGAACTCATCAAGTCCAGCTCAACCTCAGAGAACCACTACAATGAATGTAACCAACCCGAACTCATCAAGTCCAGCTCAACCTCCGAGAACAACTGCAATGAATGTAATCAACCCGAACTCATCAAGTCCAGCTCAACCTCCGAGAACCACTGCAACGAATGTAACCAAACCAAACCCATCAAGTGAGTTTCAAACAAAAGACATCCAGCTTATACAACCTGAAACAAAACTTATCACGAGGTTGGTGGCAAACACTACGCCTAAGTTCGCAAACTCGAAAATTAGAAATACCACAGTGACAGTGACAAAACCTCAACCCATGACACAACAATACAGACACAACAGTGAGCTCAACTACCTTGACAAGTGACAGTGCTGATCAACCAACGAATACAGGTACAACAGTGAGCTCAACTACCTTGACAAGTGACAGTGCTGATCAACCAACGAATACAGATACAACAGTGAGCTCAACTACCTTGACAAGTGACAGTGCTGATCAACCAACGAATACAGGTACAACAGTGAGCTCAACTACCTTGACAAGTGATAGTGCTGCCATCCAACCTACCAACATTGCTGTCATCCCAAGAGACAGTACTGTTATCCATCCTACCGATAATGATACCACCACCCATCCTACCGATCGTGTTGCTGTTAAACCAATAGACAGTGCCGTCGCTAACACAACCGAGAGTGAAACCACTACAGCAAAGACAGTCAAGCAATCCAGTCAAGTGGTTGTATCTTCCGATGAAGATCTGGACAAAGGCTACTCTTCATCACAAACTACAGAGGAAGCGGTCATCCTCCAATCTCAACTTGTTGAATTATTGAAACAAGAGTGCTTTGAATTGAAGAAATGTGTTATGAACTGTCAAGACTTGCTCACTTCTGTTACTCAATCTCATCATAAAACACCAAAGTTCCTTCAAAACTCGGATGCTCAACATTTCAAAGATCTAGGACTTCGGTGGTCTCCAGCAACTGGTTTTAAGGTGTTTCCCAGCAAAGATGGTATAGGTTGAAAAGAGAAGTAGAAAAATGCAAACAGGTGCTATAGCCGGCCTACAACAAACTTTTGTGTTAAGTAATGTGTTTTGTTCTAAACTAACTGTTGAAGTGAGGACACTTCAAGGCCGGGAGTATATCCAGTTCTTTTATCTAATAATTTTCTTTAGCCTTTACTTAGAACAGCTGATGATTTAAAAAAATGATTCCTACTGTACAAATAAACAAGATTCATTTCTGTTCTTCTTGAAAACATGACTTATTTTATTTCTCTCTAATAATTCATTTTTATTCACAAACACTCCACATTAATTAATTGTTTTCAAGAAGAACAGAAAGGAATATTTATTTTTACAATATTATTAATCATTTTTAAATCATCAGCTGTTCTAAACAGGCTAAAGAAAAAAATATTAGGTGAAAGAACTGAACAGTTACCAAAGAGTTAGAAAATTATAAGTTAGATATAGTTGGTATGTAGTTGGTCATGTAGGGTATTAATAATATAGAAGATAGATGTGCTATATCAGATTGAGAGTAAAATTTAAAAATATTTCTATTGTTGTCTTCTATGCTCTGACTGAAGATGATGAAGATGAAGTCATGAACTTATTTTATGATAGACTAGCTTAGATAAACTAATGACAAACATGATTTATCATTATTAATGGGAGATGCTAATGCATAAGTGGGACAGGAAGAGACAAATAGTTTACATAAAGCATAGATAAAACATACTCCCTTAGTAGATTTCTCATCCTTATGGAACAGCTGAAGACAATTTTATTGTTAGTTCTGTACGGTTTATGTAAGAGGTCGTGTTTTGTTTACAATTTGTTTCCCGTTATTACAGCCATTTAAAACCTCGTTTAGCCAAATAATACGATACAAATATTTAGAAAATATTAATGTATGCAATACAGTCCGAAAGTGGAACCTTTTCTTCGATGGGGATAAGGATGTAGTTCTCTTTTTAGAACGAGTTAACGAAATGAGGGAAGCCTACAATATCGAGGAAGACGAATTGTTACCTGCTCTCCCTGAGTTACTCAAAGGAAAGGCGCTTCTCTGGTACCGGAACTACAAAACATATTGGAAAACGTGGGGTGAATTTTTAGTCCATCTAGAAAATCAATTCCTGCCAAAGCGCTATAGGGAAAAATTGGATTCCGAAATAAGAGCTCGTACTCAAGGTCAAAATGAACTATTTAATGACTACGCAATCAGTGTTCAGACCCTGATGCGGCGACACGGAAAATATTCTTCCGAGCAACAATTTCATCAGATTTACGAAAACATGCTCCCAGAGTATAAGCTATATGGTCTCGGATGGGACATGAAAACTATGGAGGAACTAATGACAGCTGCAAAGGAGTACGAGTCCATCAAACAATCAGCCAACAATTTTCGCCCTCCCATGAACGCTGCACAATCCATGTATCCGGACATAGCATATAAGAGAAGAGACAAACTACCATGGCCCACGAGCAGTCGACCTCAAAAACAGGGTGACGGGTACCGTCCTCAAAGTTATGAGCACAGAGACAACCGCCATGGCTATGGAAAACGAGATTCAAGGCTTAGGTGCTATAATTGCGATAAACCAGGTCAGTTATTCAGGGATTGTCATCTCCCTAAGAAACCGTCCCCATGCAGGTTTTGTGGAGCCGAGGGCAGATCAGGGAACTGTAGCTGTTCTAGAGCAATAAACTACAGAAGAGACCCAGAGAGACAAATGCCACCCAGTCCTCGACAGTAGGTAATATGAGTGACCAATTACGAAAAAGGATATTTTGTTTGTATTTCTTCTGTTTAAAAACAAAGAGACATTTTTAAGTTTTGTAGGAAGAGTTTTCATTTCGCTTCAAGAGTCAGTTTTTTAGTGTTAATTTTAATTTTGTGGCCACTCCTTGAAACTGGCTAATGCCTTAAGACTTTTTTTTAGATGAATGCCATTTTGAAAAAACTTATTTTGTTTATGACAGTGTGATGAAAAAAAAAGATGGATTTTTTTCCTCGTTGGGAAGAAAAGGGAGAGTGTAAGGAAGTGTTTTTGACTCCCAAGAGAATTTTTAGGTTAAAGATACAGAGGAACTCGGAGACATCAAAGTGACTCCAAAGGAGGGGAAAGATGCTCCGAAGGGGAGGTAAGGTACTCACCCCCCACCACTTGGGTACCATTCGGCGGGTACTTAACCAGGGTGTTTGGCACCGAGAAGTCAGTTGGGCCTTCGGGCCCGACCCCGCCGGATGGGCGTGCTGAGCCACCGGTGTGG